ATTGATGCAAAACACCTGTTTATACTTCAAGGAATGCTGTGAATTATGGTTCGACACGATGGATGCTCATGCGCTGTCCCTGTTTGATGTGTGTGAAATTACTGATCCAAAGATAATAGAAATTGAAAAGAGGTCCTGCAAGTAGTTAAAACTGCTCTGGAGTCCAGCTGCTCTGAAGGCCAGCCACTTTGAAGTATAACATACAGCACAGTACATTAGCAGGCTTCCTCCTGCGGTACTAAAAGAGGCCAACACAAAGGAAATTGTTGGATTTTAGAAGGAGGCTTAATTTGAACACCACTCTAGAAAAGGTAGAGGTGGTGAAGAGCTGCAACAGAGTGGACACTGAGGCTGTGTACAAAAAAGGACAGAGCAGGCTCTACTTGACAAAGTTCAGGTCTTTTAATGTGAGCAGCAAAATGTAAAATGTTGCATATTTTCTCGGTGTTGCCAGTGCAACTTTGCAGTTGTGGTAGCATCACAAGAGCCAGTGACACCAGGAGGCTAAACAAGCTGATTAGAAAGCCTGGCTCAGTGTTGTGTAGCCCCTACAACACTTGAGAGAAGGATGTTTCAAAAACCGCTGAACATACTGGACAACACCTGTCACATCACACCAGTCAAATAGAAAAACTTTCAGCAGCAGGCTCCTTAACCTCCTAGGACCTGGCTTCCACATATGTGAACATCACATGGGTTTGGGTTATTTAGACTAAAATACTCAATTTTCCTCTACATGGGCCTGATATCCACTTACGAGGACATAATACTGCTACTGTTCTATCAAAAATGTAAACGAATATCCTCATATGTGGCTCTTATTTTTCTTAAAAACAAAAATAAGGTTAAAAAAAAATCTGGTAATTCTTTGTTTTTACATTCATCGGGCCCCAATATGCCCAAATATCAAAGAGAAATTACAAATGCATGTCGTGGAAGAGTTCCTGTCTTAGGAGGTTAAACTACAAATAAGTACAGAAAATAGGAAATCTAACTTAACTATGTAATGATTTTAAGACACACTAGTTCATTGGGAAAGAAAGATGTAACTCACTGTTTGATGTTAAAGTCCGTTTTCTTCTGTCGTTGATGGCCCTGCTGCCCTGGTTGTTTGTTATTTAGGTGACAGCATCCCAAAACTGCTAGCTAAAATACAAAACAAAAAACCGAAGCTAATAGCTGCCCGTTTCTGTTTTTGTTAGTTTTCCTTTGGTAATAATGTATGGCCACAGACTGACTTATTTCACATTTAACGTTTTAACGTTAACAGTTACTTTGTTGAAATAAATGGATTACATGGTGGTATTTTCCTGTTTCATATTGTCACGGGTCAGGACTGTTTGGGTTTTGTTTGACAGCTATGTTCTGTTGTTGCAGGCGGCAGCGTTACGGTTACCACGGTTACAGGGTGACGCTCTCTCTGCGACTGTGTGTTTCCTGGGTGAGAGAGCGCCTTTTTGTTGTTGTTGTTGTTGTGCTAAGCTAATAGGCAGAATGCTACAGGCATAGCCCAGAATACGATACAAAATACATTTTGGGGCATGTATTCTGTAATCTGTAGTGGAATACATTTTAAAAGTAACCTTCCCAACACTGACCACAGAACACCACCGAGCCACTGTTCCAGGCATGCGGATGACACTTGTGTGAAAAACAAGTCATTGGACATGCCACAAATCACTGAACACATTAACTCAGTGGACAAACATATCAAGTTCACCAGAGAGGATATAAAAAAAAAGACAGACTTGCATGACTAGAGTGTGAAATTACCATTTACCATTACCATAAACCAAATGCGTACAGTATTTGAAATTTGACTCTTATAATCCATTGGAGCACAAACTGGGTGTCATCTGGACACAACAACACAGAGACACAGTGGCAAGGGAAGCAGAATATCCTGTCAAAAAGGCCCTGAGTAAATGTGGTTATCCCAGGTGGCCATTTGTCAAAACTGGGAAAATGCCTAAAGAATTCTCCAGGCGATCCAGGAGAGAAAAAGGGCAACTCCAGCCTAAGATATAAACTGGGGAAACCAAACAACTTCTGGCTAAGCAGATATCACAACACAGAAAAGCTGCCTCATCAGAGCCGGTCTTTCAATGATGAGGATGTGCATTTCCTCTTGGACAGGGAGAAAGGCTGCTTTGAGCAGAGAGTCAGGGAAGCTATCTATGTGAAAAGGGAACAATCATCTCTGAAGCAGGGAGAGGGCCTAAGAGTACATCTTTCCTGACTTTACGGTGCTGTGATTGCTGCCATTCCACAAATCTCTGTGAATAGTACTCATAGTCAGTTAGGCAATTTGCATATTGACAGTAACGAAGCTGAGCTCGTTGTTCGTTGTTAGGCAGGGGTGCTAGTTTGAGTCATTGTGAAACTGTAGTGTTCATATGGCTGGGAAAACCTTCAGTAAACCGAGACTGAAAAAGTCAGTTGTTTGACTGATGAAGCTTTTCTCCCACTAAAATCACTGCGTCCAGATGAACAAAATCAACTTTCTGGCATGTGCCCAAACAATATAATACATGTACAATAGAAACATACATGCAAATTATTTCAAAACTGATGTCATGTTTAAGTGAGCTCAGAGAAACTATGAAACAGATAAAATACACAAAAAAGCCTTCTAGGCTAAAGACTGAATCTTATATTTTCCTGTTTTCACACTTTATAGGCATTGACACCCACTGATCTTCACCCAAAGCCACCAAATGGTCCGAAAATGATAATTTATTACTCCTTATTTTACTGTGATTACTCATACAGCAGGGTTACAAGGTTTACAAAAATCCAAACCTTTTTCTGAAGAAATTGGTTTGTCATAAATTAGAGACACCCGCATAATTGGCAGTAGGTTGAACAGACGTCAGCCACAGCAGTTCAGGAGTTTCCCCTCACTGCTGGAACTTCATATGTGTTTGTCAATCTTCTAATGAAATTACTTGGTGTTTTCCCTTTTCCGCTCATGTTGCCCAGCTATGAATCAATGTCAACCTGATAAACAGTCCAAACTGGAAATGATCAAGATTCATTCAGTGCTCCTTCCCATTTTTATTAATATTTAACACTCTGAGACTAAAAGTAGGCACACCCTCCTGCTTGATTACCATGGTGATTCAGCTTTTCTAATATTAAAATTAAGTGATGTTATTGCTGGCAGCTGGAACACCCACTGACCTCACCAAACCACACCAAATACAATCCAAACCTCTGGAACAATAGCTCATACCAAAAACATAACAAAAAGAGGGCAGCTGCATCCAATTTTCTATGTATGCAGCACATTGACACACTGTTCAGATCTGTATTGTTTCACCAGACTAATGGTATGTTTACACAGTGTCCCAGGCTTGTGCATAGGTGTTAAATTACGCAGCCAGATCCTGGATCTGTATATATGTGTATGTCACAGACTGATTACTCATACATACTAATTTAGAAACTGTCATGTAGTAGACAAACCTGCAGTGCTGAGGTTTGTCTGCTCTTCAGATTATGTGGGATAGCCTCATACTCTACAGGAGAAAGTAAAATTATTAGCGAAATCTTTGTACAAGCAGCAATGGGAGTATTAATATTTAAGTGTCTGTTCAGAACTGTACTAATATGTTCAAGTTCTATCTCATTTTTCTCAGAGTCGAAAGAGACTAAAGTATGGTGTTCAGAATGTCGGAGAATTATTGAGTCTGTTATAGGACTGTTGCTATTTCAGCTGTGTCAACATGCAAGCAGCATTTTTTAAACATACTCCAGACAGACAACACCAAACTCACCTCTCAGTCCTGGCAGATCAACTAATAAAAGCTGGTCTCAGTGCCAGCACACATCATGCAGTCATTCAGCTTCTTCTACATTCCTTCTTCATATCCAACTGGCAAATGCTATTTAAGGCACACAACTTCAGCTGCCTTAGACTGCCTGCCAGCAGTCGCTGCACATATGCAAGCCACTTTGCAACCCACCTCCTCCTTTTGATGTCATGTCTGACACCTGCGAGGTCCGCTGAGCTCAGTATGTTTGGATCTTGCATCAGCTGCTGTTCTGTCTAACGACAGAGCCATGCCACCAAATATAAATGAAAGCAGATATTCACTCACTGCCCACTTGAAAAGGTACATTTTGCTAGTACTGGGTTGGACCCCCTTTTGCTTTCATAACTACCTTAATTCTTCATAGAATAGATGTAACAGGGTGCTGGAAACAATTTTTCCTTAGTGGTATGATAGCAGTAGATAGATGTGTCAGCCCCACAAGCAGCAGCTTGAACTGCATAGATCCATGCTTTTTGACTCATCAGACCAGCCAACGTCTTCTTTGACCAATTTTGATGAGTTGGTGAAAATCCTTACTTTCCTGTTTTTAGCTGACAGGAGTGATACCAGGCGTGGTCTGCAGCTGTAGCCCATCTGCTTAAAGATTTGATGTGTTTTGATACAGTGATGCTCTTCTGCATACTTGTAACGAGTGGTTATTTGACTTACTGTTACCTTCCAATCAGCTCAAAGCAGTCAGGGCGTTCTTCTCTTACTTCTGAAATGAAAACATTTTCAACCAAAGAACATGTCAGATAAGTATTCCCTTTTAGAGCATTCATTGTAAACCCTAAGATGGTTGTGTGGGAAAATCCTAGTAGATCAGCAGTTCCTGGTATGGACCTATGGACCAGACCATCTGACACCATGACAATCTGACAATCATGTCACGTTCAAAGTCACTGAAATCACTTTCCTTCCTGATGTTTGGTTTGAAATTCAGCAGGTCATCTTGGCCATCTCTGCTTAGCTAAATGTACTGAATTGCTGCCATGTGACTGGCTGATACACATTTTCATTAACTGCAGCAGTTGAATAGGTGTACCTAACAATGTGGCTGATGAATATAAATAGCAATGTTCTTTTAACAAGATTCCTGCTGACTGAAATGTAATATTTGCTGCTAGGTTTATGCTTAGCAGTTGCCAACATGACATCGTAATTTGCAGACAGTGTGTAAATAATGTCCAGTACCATGGTGGTAAATGGAAATTAAAATTTTAACGTAAATGTGCTTCGTGATTCTTCACACAGGAGTGGATTCTTCATTTTATAATAAAATATTTTATTTTTGTACTTGTTACACCTTATTAGTCCTTTACACAGCTGCACAGCATGATAACACTGTTAACATGGTGTCATCAGTATAAAAAGAAAATGTTGAAACACTGCAAACACACACAATTTACATCCTACAGGACAACTGCTATTTTAATGGCAGGACACTGTATGTGATGATTGGCTTGTTTGTCCAGGTAGCGGATGTTATAAATGGTGGTGGTAAAAACTGTATGCAGACAAAAAAAAAGCATACATATACAAATTGAAAATAAGTTGCAAAAGGCATGACAATATCATAAGAGTCCGTTCCACCAGTGTTGTTTTTTTCACTTGTGTAGAGCTCTAACAGAAGACCAAAGGACGGGATATGTGTTATGTAAACAAGAAGCTAGGACATTATTTATATCCAACATTATATTATTGTGGCCTCCTATAACAGAATCAGCGGATAAACTGGATGACGATAAAAACTAACTGGGTTGTAGCTATTAGGGTCCTCTAAAAGGACCAAAAGGGTCAAGTCCAACAAATCCAGGGAGGAATGGATGGGAATGCCAAAGAAAGCACTGGGTTTAGTCTGTCAGAAGGTTTCAGATTAAAGAGGAGTATCGTGGCCAGATAAGCAGACAAAGGACAGATCACTTTTTTTAAAAATCGCTGGTAACCGTGCAGCTTCTCTCAGCAGAAGACACAGCTTGAGGTCATCTTTCCAAAGAGCATATGTTGTTTATCAGTTCGCTCATCCTAGTTTTTCCTGTTCTTCCAGTTTGCATTGCATTTTACATCTGAAAGCACACCATTTGGTCAAATCCCTGGGCCGCTTGCCTTGGAGCATTTTTCCACTGAAACATGTTTTCACTTATTTCTGAGCTGTAGAAGGTTCATGCTCCCTGCCTTTCTTCCCTCACCAGCGTTTTTTTCACTCTTGTCTGCTTTGTCATACACTATAAACAAACACCAAAGTTTGTCATTTATGAAGAGAAACAGAAACAGTCTAACACTTAACAAGTTCGCTGCTTTTGGCCACCTTAAAGGAATAGTTTGATTTTGTCACATACATTGTTCCTGGAGTACGTTTAAAGGAAGATGAATACCTCGTCGATATCTGCACATCCAAACGTACAAAAACTGAATATAAGCAGAAACTTTATTGCCTGGCTCTGTCTGGAGCACCGCTAAAGGCAAATCCACATATAAAGTTTTTCAAGTGGTGAAAACCCTCTTTTTATGTTTTTGTTCTTTGACGCACATAGTGAAGCATATTTTTGTACAGACAGCTATAAAGATGTAACAAATCTTCAATATTTATATAACACTATATGTAGAAAAGTACTTGCCCACCTACACATTACATCTGGACGACCTGCTCAGCCAATGAGACCTAAGACACGAAGCTCTTGGCGCACAGTTACGGTGCTGATGTTAACAACAGAGGAGGTTTGGAGTTTTTGTTACACCAATTTCAGTTGATTGTAGTAGGAAGAAATTTTATGAAGTGATTTGTTGTACGGTGGCATCATATCCTCAAAATCAGAGAACTCATTACAAAGACCCATTCTTTCACAAATGCTTGTGAAGGCAGACTGTGTGGCTATTTTTCAGCTATTTCACCTGTCGCAATTGGACTGAAGACAAATGAATTCAAAGATTAATACTGTTATCTTTACACATAGTTGTAGTTGTGGCCTTTTAGCTTTTTTTCAGGAATGACTGATCAGAATTCCACTGCTTTCTGGTTTCACTTTGACAAGTAAATTTCCCAAATAAAACTAAAAAAAAATCTACATAAAAACACGCTCGTCTTGAGTTTATATGTTAAAGCCAGCCTGACAGACTCTGTCAGAAACTGAGAAGCGTACATCTGAAAATGCTGAACTATCCTTTTAATGTAGGATAATATCCAAATATACATAATTGGTTTATTGGTGTTGCTTTTAAATTGTAAAAGCGAATCATTGCAGACCTACATTTCAAAGAGCATTTAATATTAAAATAGCACCATTTACTAAAAAAGTTGCTTTCTCAGTATCTCTCTGAGAATTCCTACTGTAAAGAGAAACATCTTCCCTACCAGACATCAGTTTAGCTATATACATACAATACATACATATTCACATGTATTTATGTTCTTCCCTTTTAAGAATGGACAGGTAGGCATGATGAAAAGAGCCCATACTAAATAAAAATACTACTTGGTGCAGTTCATCTGTCAAAATTTCAAGTAACAGGATGCGGTCTACTTTTCCTTGCAGGGAAATGTCCGATGAATAAGCAGCAGACGCATCCCCTGATGTCACAACAAGCTCACCCAGTCAAGAGAAGGCACTGAGGGCGGAGGAAGAAGCATCAGCACCTCTGCCCTCGCACAGGCAGAGACGGACGCAGACTTTTTGTGGAGAGACGTATGCTGTGAGACAGTCCAGTTTAAACAGTGCAATCCAGGCTCTGAGAATTGTGGCAAAGAAAAGATGACAGTCTTGACGGGGAGCTTGACGTTGAGAAACACAGGTGCGTTTCTGTGAAGGGTGAGAGGAGTGTCAGTATGAAAGTTACAAACAAAACAAAATATACAGTATGGTACACACTCAAAACTATATAGTTACTATATTTTGCCTTTGAATGTATTATCTCTAATGATTGAGCACATGCTCTTGATTCAGCAAAATGAATTTAACATTAAGTTTTAGGAAATGTCTTATTTCTCTGTGATTCATGTGCAATATGCTGTGAGTGCACTGGTGAGCCAGGCTTTAATAGTTTGGAATTGTTGGAAATATGTAAATTTGCTTTTTGGGGACAGATGAAAAGACTGATATCGATCTTATTTCACCATATAAAATATGAAACTGAATCCAGCAGCCACTTAACTGCTCCTAGACTAGTAATAGTGCTGTACTCAACCACTCATAAAAACAAAGAAAACAGTCCGATGTTTTACATTTTGTTTTAGTCTGCACTAATTTAAAAAGAATATAAAAAGCATACATTAAAAAATGCTGAACAAGTTCTTGAAAATCATTTAAATCCTGAGTCATTTTAATTTCTTCCACATCTGCAGAGAGCCAGTAACCCATGGGTCATTGAAAATGGAAAAGCAAAATGGAAAAGTATGACATCATTTATCATTATCTACTTTATCTACTGCATGCTCAGTTTCTTCCCATCTACGGTGCGGTTTACACCAACCTAGGCAATCTGCTCTGGTAATCCATCAATTCGTTTGGAGTATTAAACCCCCCTTGTCATTTACTTGCCCTTTATCTTTTTTATCTTTTGTTTTCCTGCTCTTATGTACAATATAGATAATAATCAGCTTCCTGAATTCTCGTTATCTAAATTGTCTTTACTGAAAAAGATAAATTACAATAAGTTAAGAATTAACTTCTGGTGCTGTTCTTAAATGTATGAGAAATTACATTTCTTTTCTTACTTGATCACCATTCTTAAGAACTATATCGAGGAGTATTGTTAAAAAAGAACAAGCGTTCAGATTAAGGCAAAATACCTCACTGTTCACAGGACGGCTTCATATCTGTGTAGAGGAGCTCTCTCTCTGGGTATCAAGGACACTGTAGTACATGCAGAGGCATAGAAAAAGCATATATTAACCTTTATTTATGCAAGAAGTGAAACTCTTATTTTTGGGAAAGTCTTGGGCTTGGATGGGCAGGATTACATGGGAGAGAGCACACACACTCCACACAGAAGTGCCCAGCTTGGGTTCAAATCCAGGACCCCTTTGCTGTGAGAAAACAGTGCTAATCACTGAGCCACCATGCTGTAACATTAGATAATATCATTAGATACTTCTGAGGTTGATAAGTTACTTTATTACATTCAACATGGAACTACAATTTCACTCAGCTTGGTTTGGAGGTGATCCATTACCAGATACGGCTTAAAAACAATCAGTACCACAGGGAAACTGCTATCGCCAGGCAAGCTGGCAGTGGAATACATGTCTGCATCTTGTAATGGTTTTAACCTCACTGTATCAGTTCCAGGTCTGGCTGGTGACGATTTAGGAATGATAAATGTGTCCTGTTGGCCTCCTGTATCTCAAACTCGCTTCCCCTTCTCCTCACAGCCTGGTTTGCTTGGCCCGTTTCTTTATCTGATCATAGTCCAAAAAGAGGATAACAAGTGAGCCGCTTACGCTTGGTGCTGCCGTACGAAGTCTGCAAACTGCCGGTCCTTAGCGTAGAGCTCAATGATGCGTATCCTGTCTTGGATTTCCTACAGAAAAACAGGATATATGTCCAGAAGGAACATTACATCACAGGCAGATAAACAGTAAACTCAACAGGCTGCAGCTTAGTGAAAACATGACATCAGAAAAAAGCCACAAAGAATTTTAAGTCAACAAAAGGCAGATGGCGATAAAAACCGGATATTAATTAATTTCATCATAGACAGGTAAAACGTGTAATTAATATGTATTGCTCTTGGTGTGTAACTTCCTCAAATTTCCCAGCTGCACTGCACTCTTTTTTTGTTTTTTGGCCCAAACAGCAACAGCAATTTTCTCACAAAATTCGAGCCAAACAGTCTTCAGAGTGTTGTATAAACTTAAGCCTGGTGTTTTATGTGTACAGAGTAGACAGGGTGACTTGGGAATTACTTCTGCTTACTAACCCAAGAGTTAAAAGAAATAATGAGGTAAAGAAAAGACAACCCTCTCTTCTAATTCAACCACTGGACTGTAGTTCTCTCACGAACCTCCCTAGTCAGTTCGCTATTCTCATAGATGTGTCGTATCTCCTCGCTGCTGAAGTCAGTGGAGGCCTCAGCGCTGGCACTGCTGTACACGGGAGCTTCAGGGTAGCGGCGGTAGTAGTGACTGTAGCCTGTGGTCGCTTCACTCTCATACATGGGGTTGTACTTGGTCGCCCTCTCTAAAGATGGGAGACTCTCTGCTCGCCTGCAAAATGACACAAACAGTGAAGTCAGTCGCATGGTAGAGAAAGGGTGGGAAACAGAGTCACACATCCAGGAGGAAGAAGTCAGGAAAAGAGCTCCGCGGCCATGAAAAATGTTATTGTACGTTTCATCAATAACTTGTGCCCATTAGAAAGTAGTACATGGGAATAAGAAGTTGTAGCACTTATTGATGAGTGGCTATGAGAAATGCAGTCTGTTGTTGACTCACTATAGCAGCCAAGCTCCATAGGGCTATTATAACACGTAAGGCATGGATGAATTTGACAAATGCTGTTTAGCAGAAGCTTCAAATAATGACAAAAACAGATGTGGACCAGATATGAAAATATTGCATGCAATATGCTGCAGTTTTACAAAGGAGAAATGAACCTTGTCTACTCCTCACTCGCTGAACTAGCACACACTCTCTAATGAGGGTGTTCTGATTGCTCTGTATAGGATCCAGTGTGTGCCAAATTCAAGCGACTGCCTTGACATGTGATAGGGTAAAATGAATTCAACAATAAAGCCTCTCAAAATCAAAATATAATGGAATTAAAACTAATTTATCCATGCTTCATGCGTAATAATAGCATTATAGAGTTCACATAGTGTGGCCAGTAAACAACAGACTAGTTATCTTGAGGCCACGCATTATTAACACACACACACACACATTTTTATTCATCAGCTACACAATGATTTACATCCTCCGTAACACTGGGTCTCAGTAAGTAAGATGTTATTGTGGAATAGCCTTTATTAGGCTTAGATAAGCCAGCCTGCTTGTGCCAGAAAGTCAGATTCCAGACTAGTAGAAAGCCTAATGTGTTATGTGTTTAAGGCTTTTCAGCAATAGATCAGCACCATATCTGATCAGTTAATTGGCTGAGGTCAGCACAGTCATTCTCCACAGACAGGTCCGGGATCCATGCCAGACAGATCTGTGTGTGTGTGTGTGTGTGTGTGTGTGTGTGTGTGTGTGTGTGTGTGTGT